TAATACAGCAATGCATTTTGGGTATATTGTGTTATTCCACAGGAAACCCGCAAGGATTTGATTAATGTAAAAATCTCTGCACTATAAGATAGAAAACACATCATAAAATTACAAAAACTATTGGATATGATAACTACTTGAATAAAGTACGCCACACAAACAGTTTGCAGCACATTTCTGCGTTCCTTTGCATAACAAATGACCATTTGACAAGTTCACCAGATAGCCGGGGTAGCCCATTCTGAGATTTAGTTCAAAGGGTTATTCATCTATAGTCTAGGGGGCGATTAGCTTCTCCCTAGCACTTGCTTTTTAGCTAGCTTTAAGTTATAACCAATTATCGGGATAGCATGGAAGAGCATAAACTGAATCTATAACCGTAATGTAAATCGACGACGAATGTCTCGGGAGAATCGTCCCGAATCTTTTCTMAACTTCCTTTCTTTCCTAGAYTGATTCCAGATTTCAAGTCGTACTTAATTTCGCTCMTCGATTTTTCGGTTTGTCGAGAAACTAGCGTCGGGGCCCGTGAGTGACAAAAACCCTGACGGAGAGCGAGCTGGGAATCAGTTTATTTCTTTCCTTTCTCTTTTATGATTTTCCTTTTTTCTTTCTCTTAAAAAATGCAAACATGTTCAATGTTTTCGTTTTAATGTTATTTTATTAGATCAAAACAATGTAATCAATCCATAAGATGTATCCTGCATAAAAGCATTTTCTATTAAAAAACATACCAAAAGAGATTTATCTACATGCTTTATGCTTAAAAATCTTCCAAAGTTATAGCTGAATTTATAATGTAAAGTTAATATTATTTAAATTTCTCTCTTAGATAACGACCCAGTTATTTACAGACCTCGTAAATYGCGATTGATTATCGCATATCCTAATTTTATCAATAATTGTACAGTAATTTAAAGCTATCAGAGCTACACAGTATTGTTCATAATATTCAGATGCGACTTTCAGTTTGTCGCATCTATGTTCCTAATTTATCAAATTTCACTTTGCATTTGATATGCGTCACTAGTCTTTGTTCCGATCCCATTCCAAATTTACGGCCGTTTTACGCATGTCCTCAAAGGGATTTGCATAATTCAGATGGAACTACCTTTGTCGCATATATGTTCCTAACCTCATCGCGTAATAACTTGCATTCCATTATACTTAATTATCTAGGTTCAATACCATTTCCAAATTCACGGTCATGTCCACTAAGAGCTTGCACGAATCAGATGCAACTGCCCTTGTTGTCGCATTTATGTTTCTAACCTCATCACGTTTTGATTTGCATTTATAGTTACGTTATGTTTGCTCATTCACATCCCGAATTTACTGTCGCGTTTGCGCATGTCCTCAAAGGGTCGTGCCCTGTTCAGATGCWACTGTCCTTGTCGCATATAATCATATGCCTAAACGGTCTCAGCACTTTTTCAGCGTGCGTCATAAGCTTCCCCCACTATCCAAGGAGAGTCCTATACACTTTCAATGCTGAAGAACTTTGAAAACGATCTCTTTCATTTCCAAGAATTAAAGAATTGTTTGCCCCCGTAATCAGTTTAAAGAATGTTTGAAGACGATCGATCTCCTTCAGTCCAAGAATTAGAAAATTGCATGGCCCCCACCTAACCAGCAATCGAGAATGTTTGAAGATGATCTTCTTCATCANNNNCCAAACAATCGAGAATGTTTGAAGACGGCCTTCTTCATTTCCAGGAATTTGAGAATTGCATGGCCCCCCGCATGACCAGCAATCGAGAGTGTTTGAAGACGGCCTTCTTCATTTCCAGGAATTTGAGAATTGCATGGCCCCCACCTTACCAGCAATCGAGAATGTCTGAAGACGGCCTTCTTCATTTCCAGGAATTAGAGAATTGCATGGCCTCCACCTTACCAGCAATCGAGAATGTCTGAAGACGGCCTTCTTCATTTCCAGGAATTAGAGCACTGATTTTGCTCTAGTTGCAAATAGTTGAGCCACCTTACCAGCAATCGAGAATGTCTGAAGACGGCCTTCTTCATTTCCAGGAATTAGAGCACTGATTTTGCTCTAGTTGCAAATAGTTGAGAATGTTTGAAGACGATTCAAAATTAGCGCTACCATCTTTCCATCCAGATTTGAGGTATTAATTGCAGATTAAAGTAAATTATCTCTCTCCAGTACAGAACAGAACAGTTGGTCAAATAAGATTAAATTAGAATCCAAAAAAGCCATGCCAATAACCTGCAAAAGATGAAATAATTTTTACTCATCGATTGAAGTTAAAGGGCTATGGTCAACTAGCATTCAAGCGTCCATGTTGTATTCATAATAGGTATAAAGGGATAATAAAGAGTAAGTTTTTTCTTGTATACATGCATCTTGAAGAGTGAGACTCAAATCACTAAATTATAACTCCTAAAGAAATTAAAAGGTTCTAAGTTAATGTAAATCTAATATAATATACGTTATGATGATAGATTAGTTGATTAAGCAGCTATGAAATTTGTTCTAAGGCAAAACCGTGATTCAGGGCCCACTTTTCAAGATGGCGGACACATTGTTCTCTGAAACTCCTGATGCGTGTATATTACGATGTATTTATATTTTAAACACAAAAAAAGCTTGAAAGGGATGCTGGTTGACCATGACCCTTTTGCAAGATTAGCAAAACGTCCGTAGATAGCCATGAATGACTAAGCTTATATAGAATTAACATTATCATGTATATATTTAGTTTTTGATCTCATAAATCATTCAGCTCTTACCCATAGTGTTATCTTCATAAGACAACCCTTCATTTTGCGCTTGTTCTTCATGATCACCTCCTCGTTGTTCATCMTCATTTTCCTCTGAATCCCTYGCGTTTTCTTCCTCGTCAAATCCCAYAAGATTGTTTCCAAACTCAGGACTCCCCGCACTGTTARCATTCAGTGCTAGCCTAAACGCATCGTYGTAAAGCCCCGATTGGTTGATTTGGGGTTCATAACCACGGCGTCCATTCCCTCCTTCCCACAATGYCTCACGGCCTTCATAGATGCCAAGGACGTCATTTACTCTATGATCATCATAKTGTGGCGCTGGAAATCCGCTGCCTTCGACGTTACGAACATTGCTTAGATATTGTTCCARCAATTGAAGTCGTCCCCGAATTCTCCAAAACARCACTTGAGGAGCATTYGAGCTGAGTGTTTCTTGGTAKGCATTATTGATAATGGMATCARCATYYTGCTCAGTARGATCTCTAGGAACTTCAACTGCCGCTAACGCAGCATCGAGTTGGCTGGGACTGCCGCCACTGTACCCCAGAGTAAGAGCTTGGACCAATATGTCATCAATTTCTGAAAAGGATGATAAGTAGTGCARATGAATTGTAAGCAGAGGTGACAATTTGTTGTCCTTAAGAATCACAGCCAATCGCTGTACCTTGGGAGCCGAAGCGCCATTTTAGGTGGACACGAAAATGGCGAATTCGTAAGATTTCTTAAAGATAGCGCGAATCGTCTTCTAACCTTTCAGTAAACTAAGTTCCTCACAGGTACTATCAATCTATAATCTATTGTATGTTTGACGCATTTAAACGGATGTTAACGGTAACACGAGCGTGCGCTGTATTATGGTTGGTTGGGATTCTTTAGAATCAACGAGGATAAGAGACAGGGAGGGAATATAAGAAAACAATAAAGATGAATGTTCTATTCACCTTGTTCTCCTTGAAGAATGCCAGCATATGCCGGTGATGCGTACAAATGGGATGGCCCAATGTTTTGGTTGACCGGCTGAGGGACAGGGATATTCTCGTCCTCGATGGTAGAGACTGAAACGTCCTGATGATATAATCAGAGTGATGTTTTTTAGAAATTAACAATGAAATACCTTAGACGCCAGCGAAAACAGCAAATTATAGGATAACGAGCAGGGCAAGACAACAGACTCGTAGAATTTTGCTCTGTAGCTTGCAGTCTAGGTGCATGCATTACTCGCTTCATCGCAGTGACTAGATTCTTGGAGACAAGACGACAACACGACACGACAGCAACACGACAACGACACGACAATACGACACGACGACAACAAGACGACAATAAGACACGACGACACGACGACACGACGACACGACGACACGACGACACTACGACACGACGACACGACGACACGACGACACGACGACATTACGACGACAACACGACAAGAGAACACGACAAGAGGACACGACGAAACGACGGCAAGTCAACGAGGCAGCAACACAACACCACAATAAGACAACAGTAGCTACACAGAAGACAGGACAAGGCGACTGGTGCTCAGCAAGACAACCACTGCAGGAAAACAACAAAGACGACAAAGAAAGCATACAAATGGCAACAAACAAAACACGAAAGTACATCAAAAAATTAATACAAGTGGACATTTACTCACATGAAAGCTAGAAGATAATGAGATCTCTCCCTCGCTGGTTGCATCGTCACCGAGATCCGAAAACACTTCAGAGAGTCTAACCGATGAATAATCACCCGGAAACAGTTCAGAGAGGTCAAACGATGAAKATTCATCAGTATTTATTGATAAACTCTCCTCGTCTTTCTCGTGAGCAGCGTTTCTCGCAAGTTCTTCGTATAGCGATTCATAAAACGCCTGCTCTGATGGACTCATCTTGGCCAGCACTGAGCTACCTCTCCTCTCTACGTGAACCAAATAAGGACATAAATGAATATGACAAGATGTGAAAGGAATAATGATGGATGAGTAGAAAAGAAYAAGGYAAACGAATYAGATAACAAATCAAGTTTGYATGCCCGCTTTCGCTTGCTTTTKKGGGTTTTTCTCTAGGACCCTGCTGTATTTTTGTCCTCAATAAAACKGATYGAGTATTACTAATCTCTTTTGCTCCTTATCRTTCATAAACAGTTTGACGGTGATGCAGCTATAGGTGTGTAACTCACTCATTCCCTTATGAATAGCCCGTAAGCCCGAGTAAGCGATCRAGGATGTGATAATGAGAAAACAATCTTATTTGTCTATGTTCGTTTACCATTTAACTTGAGTCAAACTACTCAAATCTGTTTCTTTCTGTCGCTATAGTATATTTACCTTTATTCTCCAGAAGTTTCAAGCCATCGTCAGTTGATTTTTCTCCTTGTTTTACAAAAGAATCGACGACATATGATTCTGGTTTGACATTTGTCATCTCATAAAAGTCATCTGTTCAAATTATAAGAAATAATATCAATAAATATATGCAGGTATGGCGTGTTTTCATTTGTATCCTGCGAGTGATGGCCGGAATCCGCATTCTTCCAGCGTGCGCGGGCTCATTAATCAAGCAAAGAAGCGCGAGCTTGCGGTTTTACTATGGGCAAATCAATTCTAACGAATTTGTAAAATACAACAGAAATACTGGGATAAAGCAAGTAACGGGTGGGCTTCCTGTGTTTGGTAGTTCATCAGTAGCTTGGAAAAGGTTGCAAGGCCATTGGAAATTAAAATTTTTTCAGCGTTTGGACTTCCTGTGTTATTCTAATTAGGYAATTACACGTCACGTTTGCATCACCATTCGCGGAAGTGACGTTACAAACGAGATGGAATTGCTCGCTCGCTAGAGACTTTATTGCTATAGCAACAGCTTGTGAGTCAGTAAAATAGTTTAGATTTTTCCAAAAACTTGCACAAATTAAAAATGACCGAAATGTAGAATTGCGACAAGAAAAACAAATTGCTTTCCCTTTATAAATAAAGCAATGACAAAAATTAAATATTTTCCAATTAATTTTTTTCCTTGCTTTTTCATTTAACTMAAGCAATGCGTCTTTATTTTTATAAATAAGCCATCGACTTACCTTCGTCCTCAGGATACGACCATATACAACACATGACGAGATTTGCAGCGTTCCTGAAGTAACGAACTAAACGGTTCCTCGGGCGTGGCAGTATTCTCAATGTTCGTCTAAATCGACGAAGCGCATTCATTTCTAAAAAAGTAAAAAAAACATTATTGGATCACTGAACTTCATCAATGTTAATCGAAACTTCGCGAAAAAGGAAAGAAAAGATTGATCTACACTACTACACGCAGCTTTTCCCCGCTAGCTTTCGTCTTGCTAGCTTCTGTAATAAACTCGTTTGCCTACAATAGGTGCCCAACAAAGAAGTTTTCTTTGACGCGCGCTCGTCCAATTCAATTATTCCTAGCAAAAACAGTGCAGTGTAGACTAATCTTGAAGAAAATCTCACCTGAAATCTCAGTATGGATGGATACTTAGTTTTTGAACTTATTTAAACAAGTTGTCTCAAAGTTTTGTGAAACTTTCAATGCAAGCAAAAAGACACGTCTGTTTTGCCTCGAACGCAATTGAAAATGGTGAGGTCATTGGTTAATTTGATTGTGACGTAGTTTGCAATTTTTGGTAGTAGGGAGGGGTGGGTGGATTAATTGTTGTTTCCGTTGTGGGAGAATAGTAATAAAGCTTATAGTAATAAAGATAAGTACAGATTATGCTTGAATAACTTTTGATTAACATAATTTCAMAGTGTTCGAATTATTTTCGATTTGTTTTAGCGAGAAAAGAGCGAAAATTACATGACATCATATTCATGATTGAGATATGACATATGTTGCCGGTCAGTGGTTTGCAAATGAATGTATGCTCAATTTGTATGTTTGGCAGGTTTGGTGATTAACTGAATCGATCGATGTGGACTCTTTTATCTTCAAGAAAAGTTTGACATGAAAAAGYCTAGTATCTGTCGTCCTTCCAATTTATAGCAAAAACCCTTGCTGGACCTAAAACGTTTCTTAAATTTCGCAAGGATTTTGCAGGGGCATTTTGCTACTCTTGAAAAAAAGGTTCAACAGATTAATCAATTTCATTTGGGRTGTTTAAATCTAAAATTTCACTAGTAGAAAGAAATTTGTATCTAATATAATTAAAACCTTGCAGGAACTGAAACTAACTGTTTTATTGCTCATTTGCTTTTTAGATAAAGTGCTTGTAACAAAAAGAGATAAATAAGTATAAAAAATATGTTTTTTTTTGTAAAGAAATAGAGCCATTTGGCTATAAATTGATTAATAAGTTTTTCAGTAGTTAGCCCCCCTGTCATTTAATTCAGTACATTGGTAATTACTGGACTTAAATAGTTCCTTGAATTTCACTAGGATTTTGCAGCCGGGTTTTGGTGCGATTTTAGACGACGTTTCAACCGATCAATCAATTTCATTTGGGGTCGGTTTGAAATTAGAATTTCATTAGTAGAAGAAATTTGTATATCAGCAATCTTTGACTAAACCTTTGACTTCGCTAGGATTTTGCAGGGCGCTGGTGTACGTTTCAATCGGCCGGTCAATCATCTTTAATTTAAAATGTCAATAGTAGAAAAAAAAAATTGTTTCTAATCTATCTCTGCTATGTCTGTTACCCCCAAAAAATCCTCGGAACTTACGACTGTTCGTATAGATTGTGAACAAATTACAGGAACGCATTATACACAATCATATCGTTATACAAAAGACTAATTAATGCTAATTAATAATATTAAATAGTCTTGCAATGATAAGAAAAGAAGAAAGGAATGATACAGYATAATAAAGCACTTAATTTTACACTCTTTTTAAAAAATTCACAATCAAAATCCACGTATATTGATAATTGTCCAGCTGTTGACTGTTGAGATTCGTAAACATTTTGTCAGAATGAGGGGGTGTTGTATTTACACTGATATATAACCCCTCAAAAGCGTTTTTGAAAAGTTTTAAATATAGAAATTGAGTGTGGAAGACCATTTGGCTTCCTGTASGGAAGTTTTAAATTGTTGAAATGAGGGAAATTATTAGATGATATTAATATATCTAAGCCTGTATTTTCTAATTTGTATTTTTTGGAATTAAGATCAGTTTTATTGGCGGTTCCAGTCGAACGTTACAAAGATGTTTGGCTAAACTCAAGAAAAATTAAATAGAGATATATTTAGGGCTGCAGAAAATGAAGTTTCTTTCATATCAACGCTGTGGTTTAGTTGTTTAACTGTATGAGTCCGATTAAATTTCTTCGTTTATTCAGAATTCATTTTCATAATTTCTCCAAATTTTTGAACACTGAAAAGGGGGCTAGCTAAACGCTCTATTTATCCATTATTAGTCGCCCTTAAATTCATGTTTTGCTGAGGTCGAATATTAGTCAAAAGGAGGTAGAATTCATCAACATAATATGGCTTTTAATTTCGGGGGTTTGTACCACTGAATCGCCCACCTCAGAGGCTAACAGTTCGTTTTTTTTTTGTTTTTTTTTTGCTGTTTACAAAGTATTTCTGTGTGGACGCTGCAAATATATCCTCGAATAACATCTTCAGTCCGTATTTYACAAATGCGTCCACAATGCCAAAACCTTTTTACATTTTTTGGAGTTGTTTGGGATAAAGTTTRATTAAAAAATGTATTGCAATCAAAGAAAACAAACAGACACTTGTAAACTTCGATTTTACGCACAAGTACACTACAAAAACTCACGAAAAATCAAGAAAAATCAGGAAACATTTTTCGTTACCAGTGTTTATTTGCTCTTTKAAATCTAATTCATGCGATCTCAAAAATACCATTTCCCAATTATGCTTGTGTTTTCTGCATAAAAGGCGCTGAGAAGCCAAAGTTCTGCTCATTGAATTCAAGATCACTGACTGAGARCAAGATTTAAAAGGAGAGACGTACTTCAAGAACTTGTACTCAAGGTAAAATTTCTGGCGTTTGTTTTGGTTCGCTGTACTATTATTTTTCTTTATACACTAGTGAAATCACCTTAAAAATCGATCATGACTCTAAAAACTTTAATTCCTCCCATAAATCCAAGCCAAAGCTATTCGGAAAAAGTTTGAATCGATTTCCTTCGGACAAAAAATTTAATCATTTATGTTTTGAGGGCTATATTGATAACATTAAAAAGTGTAGATTCTTTTCCGTAGATGATTTATCAGTTGAAACCGAGCTTTCTTCTTATGATATAGGCAGCCTTTATTAAGGTTGTATTAAGTAAACGTGATAAGCGAGCGACAAACAAGTTACATTTTAGGCTCTTTTTTGACTGACTGAAATTTTAGTCATTTTAAGGAGTAGCGGCTACTCCTATATGTAAGAGTCAGCCGGGTCCTCACCCAGCCCTCGAGGAATTAATACAATTTTCTCGATCACATTCAAAAATATCGCCAACTTTGATTTGAACTATACTAATTTGTTCTTTGTTTTAAAATCGCTTTTTAGACAATGAATCTCAAGATTCTTATTCTGCTTTGCCTCGTCACCATTCTCACTCTTCCTGATGCGGACGCTTGGGGGGTAAGAAGAAGGATACGATTTAGAGTCAGACTTAGAAGAGTTGTACGAGTGGTATGCAGTGTGAGCTGTAAGGTCAAAGGCTGCAAGTACACCTGGGTTCACCACAAGCTCAGACGTGTTTGCCACAGGACTTGCGGTAGAGTCTGCCGTAAGGTAAGTATACACCTTTACCATGATTTCCATCCAAATATAGAGCTACACCTATTGAAAAAACGTAGTCGTGTTCKAAAAGTCACATCATTGAAGCTAAGGGATTTTGAGTACCACTAAATTGGGATTGCATTTGTATATACGGCTTACCGTAAAGCAGGTAGAGCTAGTAAGATTAACAGAATGCTAGTCTTTTATGCTGGAGGGCTGTTTGTATGAAATTAGCCAAATTGTTTGTCTTCCCAAGTACCCTTTCGGTCCTAGCTTCTATGATTTGACCTTTTTGGGCCCGACAAAGTTTCTTCAATTAGGTGTATCAGAAAACATTGAATACTAAAGATACTGTATTCCAAGACCGAGGTGCATTATTGGTCGTTCTCCACARCGATCAAAAGGAGTTTTCGTGGTTTCGTGAGCTGACTATASAGTTGAATACAGTCAAGAAGCTCTAATTACGAACTGCATGGATCAATGAAATTATGCTTAGGAGTCTTATAACAATGAAATGCAGTTCTTGGAAAGCACAATGCAGTATTCTAATGCCAGGTTTTCTAAGGGACCCAAAGTCGCTAAAAATCGCCGAAAATCACCCCAAATGGACTTATAGATTAACCCCAAATTACCCCAAATCACATTTTTCATTTCTGGAAGCAGTCTATGCTTATGGTAGAAATCAATGGCGAGCTATATAGACATTAATCTAATGAACTTAGGTTGTCTGATGTGATCGTAGGCAACATTTTGCAAACGCCTTGTGTGGTCTACTAATGTTTTAATTATCTTACTTTGTGTTTAATGCCAYGTGATGATCCAAGATCTTTGGTAAGAGAGACGCAGATGAAAGTCTTGGAATGATCCAGGTATAGTAAAGACACCTCATTTTCCGTGTATAAAATATACGACCGCATTGAATGCCGGTTCATCAGGCTCCTTTATACTCGTATAAAAAAATCAATCGACGAATGACTCTACTATAATATGCTTAAACATTTTAACGCAGACAACGCAGACTCGTCCCCAGTCGTTACTCTTCTATTTTATCTCTGGTGCACGTCAAGGATCAAGGGAAGTCATTCGGACTTCCCTTGTCGCAACGCGAGCCGTAAAAAAAAAATGACTGGATGTCGACTTTGAATGGTTAAACCTCCCGATAAGAATTCCTTCATTTATAGAAGTTCTCAACTCAGATAACTTCTTTCTATTGATGATATTATTGTCAACATCATGCAGATCAAACAATTGCCTGACATTCGCGCGGGCTACCTGTGTTTTTTTGTGGGATCCCTTATTTTCAAGGATGGGAGGGGACTAGGACAAATTTGAAATGGCCGACATGTTGAAAAGCAATTTCTCTGCAAATTCTGTAAGTTTTAGCCATTTTAAAGCACTATACGACGGAAAAAACTTTGAAAAAAACCGTACTAACTCCCTACTACTAAGGTAAAATTATGGTCAACAAAAGTTTGGCGAACGAATGACTTTTTCTCCCAAGCAATTGTTTGATATGGACTTATATTTCGATAGGATGACATCGCTTTTAATAAAAGGAGTTTTTCTGCCGAAATATCCTTGCGCCAACCGGCTCGTCTCTCTATGTACGATACAGACAAAGATGGTCGCATTTCAAGAGCCGAGTTCATGGCGATTCAGCCACGAGACAGCGATGTTAAATCGATTAAAAAGGCTTTTGATGCCATGGATACCAACGGTAGGATATGCTATCTTCCACAATGACGTCATAACATGTTTACATGCGTTACAGGACCGTCGTGAAAAGCAAAAGGAATTTGTACTTATTATTTTTTTCAGTACTTTGGTTCACTTCAAAAAATYGCGCAGTTTCAAGGTTTTAAATTTGATGTAAATATTATGTAAGTGTCCAAAATGATGTAAACGTGAAGTTATAAGCTTGATTTAAATTATTTACATCAAATTTACATAATTTTGAACACTTACATAATATTCACATCAAATTTACAACCTTGAAAGTGCGAGATTTTTTTCTAGTGATTTTTTGGAAAGCTATGGTTTAAAACTGATCACTTAAACCTATTTGGACCTTTATTGATTGAGATGGTCTATGGTCTTAACAAATCCAATTTGCTATTTCAGGGGACCACTACATTGACTGCAAGGAGTTTCTTAAAGCCAAAGTCGAGTATCGGGGCAGACCGCGATGCTAAATACTGACGAAGCATTCGAATTCCTTGTCATGTTGTAGCTGAAAACTGCATGAAAATTAGTCGAAAAATTAGTCTGAAAAAGCTGATATTAAGTTATCATGTCATTAAAGCTGAATTAAATGAATTAGCATTAAACGATAAGCATGGAATGTTACTGTCTTAAATTTTTTGTCATGTGATATGATTAGGGAAGTTTAGAGTGGCAACGAGTACGTGTACGAGTTTTAGTTGTTGGCACTGGATTTCAGATCACTCTAGTTTTTATGTCTTTGGAGGTTTAGTCCTATTACAAGAATGAAATTAATGATCCGAGACCAATTTTATAACTCGTACTCGATCTTGCACTCGTTATATCTGTGAGGCCCAGTTCATACGTCGAGCCCGCGTCGCACCGAACCAAATAGTTTGAATTTAGCACATGAACAGCTCGACGTATGAATCAATTGAGTTCGGCGCGACCATAACACGGCATTGGCACRGCAGAGTCAGTCGTGCTGCACGGCAAAAGCTCGACGTTGATTAAAATTCACAAAAATATCTGTTTTCGACAAAAATAATTGTGTAAATTGCGTGTTATCGTACCAGCTTTTCTTATGCTTTTGACTGCATTTGGATCGACGTATGAATCAACGACGTACCAAATGTATTTCGGGTCGACACAAATTGACTATTCGGTTCGGCGCGACGCTGGCTCGACGTATGAACCGGGCCTGAGTTCCTTTGATGTCGACTCTAGCCGAGCAGTCAGGGTCGAGTTAAGTAAAACTTCAACAAAGGATTTCTCATTAGTTTCTATTGTTTATTCCTCCAACATGGCCGTCGGTCGTTTATCTTTTGAATCTCATGAGAATGGTTGAAAATCATCAAGAAGCGACAATGTCCGACATCCTATTTTTTTGAAATCTAAAATCCATACCCCGAGCAATTTATACTGTGCAGCTCTTTCAAAGCACGTTGTCGGGGAGATCGGCGAGCGGCGATTGTCGAAGGGAGATTGCACGACCGAAAGGGACTATGGTTACACTGTTTTGATAAACCAAGAAATTTCACATTGGATTCACCTTACRTAGTAACGGAGACTAAATGGAGCCAATGTTTACAACAGACCATCTTACAGTACAAATCAGTTGATATTGCCTTTCATCTAGCAAAACCCATGGCTACTTTCTGTAGTGCAATCGCTGTTCGACAATTGACATTCGCCATTTTATCCGACAACATATTTTGAAATAGCTGTATATCTTGTTTGATTTTAACTCGGATGCATGACGYCATATATTACAGACCGTTATTCTACCTAAATTGTGTATATGCACGGAAGATGGTCTATATTGTTTGTTTAAATGATACAACTTTCCCTTGTTTACTTTGAAGATGTCAAACTTAACTAAAATGTAAGTTTGGTAACGGAGCTTCAAACCGTTTGACAGCGWTGTATACGAGTTGAGCTTCCCGTCCCAAGTTGTGATATCAGTYATGTTTAATGCACAACGGCTAGCAAAACTGATCACAAACCATATTTTAGTAATTCCAGCATTGATTATTGAATCAAATAAATACAGCTTTGTCAATCTGAATATATATTATATTGATTTAAAATCCCTCAATTTCAAGAAATAGAAACTTAGAGRAAGAGTATCATTTCTGACTTCCWCCACGGAAGACATCAATGTCAAATAATATTGACTCGAATATGTAATTATCTTTAATAGAAACATAGTTCACATCTTGTAGATAAACAGGAAGACCAAATCTATCTTTTCTATTTTCCGGCTTTTTTGTACAATATATCTCTTCGCTTTTCAACAACATTTTTTGTTTTCCAAAGGATATCGCCAATTTCAGAATATCTCAGCCCTCTGCCAAAATCGAGGCCCGTTTTGMCATTACTACAAGAGTCAGATTTTTGAATTGAAGGCACATGCACAAACACAGGCTTCAATCAAAATTAATTGTCAAAACAAAATTACTAACCTGAATACTTTGAATTAATTGAAGCAAAATCAGACTAATATTTGCCGAATAAATCAATTTTGTGCTAAATTTTGGTCGTCCTCTCAGCCAAAGACTGATCACGTGATTATGTTTTACTGCTTTTGAGGTCATTTTGTATTGACTAACAGAAACGCTACAAGATGGCGGATTTTCGTACAAGATTTCATTTCATAAAATAAAGGATTTTATATCGACAGTTTTCTTCATTGTTGTATATCTTTATTTGTCTTGGTCGATATTAGTGTAATGCTTATGACAGTTTCTTATTTGAATTATTGTAATGATCATTCYGTCCAATCTTTGATGTAAATACACGGGATTCTGCTCCAGTCTTGTCGTTATAAAGTTTAAAATCCTTTGTTCTAACTAACACAGCTCCTCATGGCCTGGCTCCTATTTATGTTCAAGACATGTTGAAATATATCGTGACCCTCATTTACTGTTGCTGGTCCAATTCTATGAATTCTCTTCCATCTTCAATTTAGAGAGTTTTCTTCACTCGATKACTTCAAATCTGCTCTTAAAACTTACCCACTTAAACAAACCTATCGATCTCTGATCAACTATATATTTCATTGTAAATCCTCTATTTTACATTTATTTTAAGTTGTTATACTTTTTAAAGCGCTTAGAGAAAGCGTTATAAAAGCTTTATGTATATTATATCATTATATTAGCCAAAATTGACTTAATGAATACCAATTATTTTATAATTTGCCTTGTTTATTTCAAAAAATGCTTATTGATATTCACTACATCCAAACATAGGGTACGTGGYTCCAAGGAATATAGCGATTGATCTGAATTGACAGTACGTACTCTAGACAGAAGTCTTTCAATGGGACTGCACTAATTCTCTGATCGAAGTGTTTGAAAGGAATGGATGTTTTTTGGAGTCCTTGTAAGTCGTAAACAAAGTTAGTGCATTTTACAAAAAAATAAATAAATAAATGAATTCTTCTACTTCCTCAAGATCACGAGTCTCTAAGAATTCACGAAAAATCAAGTCTTTGTTTACCAGTTCCGTAAACTTCCTTTTCTTATATTCCAATTATAGTTAACCACATATTAAATGCGGTTCCAGAACTTTGTCAGGGTGGGTTGTCCCAAAGTGAAGAATGATTATGTAGGATGCCGAGTCATGATATTAAATTTTGATTAAACATTCACTTTTATTTTGACTTATAACACACTACTGCGCTAAATGGCCATATCTATACTGCTATATTATAATTATCACAACAAGTGCAACATTCACTTCAAAATGATGAAATATATTTCGGCGTTAAGGGGTGTTGATACACCATGGACACCCCCTGTTCCCACCCCTGATCCGCCCCTGATCATCTAAAAGCTACGTTTGATATTTCTGCATAAATAGAGGTCTGTATAGCTACGGTTCTGTGGACTGAATTCCAGACTACTGCATGAGAACACTTCAAGATCAGCGMTACAAGAACTCAAACTCAAGGTAAGATTCTTAGCTTTAAATCAGTTGCAGTTACACTACATACTTAAAACAGCTTAACAATGAACTTAAATGACGTATAGCGCTGATATCTTCGCTGTATGTTTCAGACAATGAATCTCAAGATTCTTTACTTGCTTTGCTTCGTCACCATTCTCCTTCTTCCCGACGCGGACGCTTGGTTCAGTGGAAGAAGACGAAGGAGGCTCATGATCATCAGGAGGTTGCTCCCGACGTCCCGGAGGGTGTGCACTTATATTTGTACGCCGGTATGCACATTAAAAGTCGTAAGAGGCAGAATTAGAAATGTCTGCGACAAACGAATATGTCGACGAGTATGTCGTAAGGTATTGACTTTTCTTAAAATCCCAGTAAAGGCCAGGACTAGCCTCGTTCGTAGTCAGTGGCGGAACCAGGGGGTTCCATGGGTTCCTAGGAACCCCCCTCAAGCATAAAAAAAGATAAATGAAATAAAATGAAAACGCATCGTACAATGAATTTTTATTAAATACATTCACGTTACATTTGCTACAATTCGAGAGACGGCAGTAAAAGTTCGTTTTAGGAAAATGCGAGAACAAAGTGGAACCCCTCCTGGATCCGCCACTGCTAGGATAGAAAACAATAGCACAAGCAAACAATTTACAATTTATTTATTTTAATCAAATGGCCTGAAAAAATCAATGAAATAAATAAAAAAGAGTTAATAAGAAAGTAGCAATTTAAATTTTAGAAATAGCTATTATATTTTTTACTGACTGACTCGGTATGAAGTTTGGCTATTTTGAGAGCTATTTTTCAATCAAGGCCTAGTATGTGACATTGTTTAGCGATTTTCTTGCGGAAAATGAAATATTTTCAAAAACCAATTGCACAGCGATTGTTACCTAATCGTACCTTATCAATATACAAAATATRAATAAATTTGATTTTTCGAGCCTTGCCAAAAATTTTCAATTTAATTTTGTCGGCTGTTTTTTTTTGTGCGAAGCGGCTCTTAATATTCTAATATTAAAGTCATGTTTTTATTGATATAAAAGATCTTAGGTAAGAAGAGAGACGAGCAAGAAAATCCAGGACCGATTCAGGTAAACTACCAGTTGAATTGTACTCTGATCCCTGAGTATCTCATACTTCTCTACTATCTTGCTGTATCTTCACCATCCAATAGAATGGGGATATCAAACCCTCGACCCAAAATCCATCTTTTATGATAAAATAGAGCAGAATCAGAATAGATTGTGTATAATATTCTATTTCACGGGTTTTTGAAGTTCATTGAACACCAAATAGACAAAGAAATTTAAGAAAAAGGAAGCGTGATAGATTTTCTTGTAACCCCGTTGCAAACTGCACAGCACAGCACTGACAATATCCATTGAACTATTTCAGGGGACCACTACGTATTGACTGCAAGGATTTTCTAAACGCCAAGCTCCTATATGAGGCGAAACCCAAATGCTAAATATATACCTATAGTATTGTTCCAAGCCTAAAAAATAAAAATTAAGGGATTTAATACATGTTAAAGAGGCAAAACGCGAAACCAATAAATTATTGTTTTTGGAAACAAAACTGAACTTTAAAATTAACTGATAATTAAAGTCTAAAGGAAATGAAAAAATGTAATTTTGCTATTGTTTAACTCATTGTCGACGGTTCTTGATTTGTTGATTTTTGAGCTTT